GAACAGACAGGTTTTGACACGAACGTTTGATGTCGTTATAGCATTGCATGTAAAGGGTTATTAAGATGATGATGATGATGATGAGGATGATGATGGTGACGATGATGATGATGATGAAGACGATGATGATTATAATAGTGGTGATGACGACGATGACGACGACTTTGTGGTGATTGTGTTGTTGCTGACAATGATGATGATGCCGATAGTAATTGTGATGATGATGACGACGATGTGATGATTGTGATGATGGTGGCGATGATGATGATGTTGACGGTGATTGTGGCCGAAACAATGATGATGATTTTAATAATGACAATGGCAATTACAACTATTTGGTGGTAAGACGATGACGACGATGCTGACCGTGGTGATGGTGATGATGCCGACAATGATGACGATTATGATAATGATGGTGATTCATTTGTTCCTTTTTCTCATTTATTTTTCGTTCTGTTCATCTTTTTATATATTTTGTTTCACTTTTATATCCTTCTCTTCATTTATTCAACCATCTATCCATTCATTCACACATTCATTTGTATGTTCGTTCATTATTCTTTTTCCATTTTCATTCATTCATTCATTCATTCATTCATTCATTCATTCATTCATTCATTCATTCATTCACTCACTCACTCATTCATTCATTCATTTATTCATTCATTCATTCATTTAACCATCCATTCATCCATTCACATATTCCGCCCTTGTAAATCACAATTTTTTCTAATACGTCCAATTTGTCTGTATCATACATGCACGTCAGTCATAAGCCACTATTTGTTTGCAGGTCTTTCCATGTGTTTGTTTGTCTGTCTGTGTATGTGTTAGTTTGCTTATGTGTTTTTCTGTCTGTGTTTGTTTGTCTGTGTATGTTTGTGTATGTGTTTGTCTGTGTATGTGTTTGTCTGTGTATATCTGTCTTTGTATATCTGTTTCTGTGTGTCTGTCTATGCAGGTATTTGTCTGTGAATGTCTGTCTGTGTATGTGTTTGTATATTTATGTCTGTTTAAGTATTTGTTTATTTATATATGTATGTCTGTGTATGTGTCTGTCTGTCTGTGTTATATGTCTGTAAATTTATGTGTGCTTATTTGTATGTTTGTACATACCTGTTTTTTGTATAAGTGTCTCTTTATGTATGTTACAGTCTGTGTATGTGTCTGTTCGTGTCTGTCTTTCTGCGTGTTTACTTGCATACGTGTCTGTCTACTTGTTTGTTTTTTTGTCTGTGTGTCCGTTAAGTTGTTGTTTGCTCGTCTGCATATTTCTAAATTTCAACGATAGCTTTTTTTATTCTTTTTTTGTACATACAAATTATACATACTTACGAAATGTTATTCACAAATCCTTCTTCACATTGCTATTGAACTCCTGTCTTCAAGGTCTTCAAAGATCTCCAGCACCTGCACGGACGACCTACGTAGGCACTTGTGGGCACCTGTGATGACCCGCGGACACCCCACCGTGTCCAGCAGGTCCAAAGAGCAAACAGCAGTTCTAGAATTTTGGACAAACAGCAGTTGAACCAAGCCAACGCGTAAAAGAGCTGCTGCTGCTGCATGCTGCTGATGGTGAAGATGATTATGTGTCATTAACATCCCGACTAATAGCACTTATGGTTGGTCGGACGGATTTGATAGTTTAATAATTTTCTCTACGATGAATATTTATTACACTGTCATTAACTTTTGTTTCTTCCATACACTTTTATTTCCAAGTGACTCGGGCACGTTAAATAGTAAATATCTTGCACCATTGAGTCGAACTCCACTCAAACGCTTTCAAACCTGAACAATGCCTTTGTAATACGGACGATTTCGCTAACAGTTTAAAGTTGGACTATATGCAGGGCGCAAGAGTTGGGACATTCGATAATCGAACGTAGGAGTACCAAAAAAATTCTTACACGTAGTGGTCAACGTAGTTTGACGTGTCTGTAAGCATTTAAAGTGCACACGTCTGTCGGTGAGTCAATTTGGTAAGAAGACATCGCTTATGTTTTAATGCATCCGTATAAACACAATCAAAGAGGCACATACACTTACCTGCATATATACTTACATATATATGTATACATCTTTATATGCACCTATCTGCATGTATATAAGAAAAAATGAAAAAAAAATTATATTTCTACGCTGTGTGTTTTGTAAGGATTCTTGTAAAAGTAAACCAGCAACCAACATAAGAAATTAGCCTATAAGAGCAACACATCCATCTTGTTTCCTCATGAATCACGTGATCGATATTAGGCTAATTTGGAAAATTCATCTCATGTTAGCACCATTGGAAATAAACGAGACATATATAGTATCTTTTTTTATGTTTTCTTCCTGTTATATAATTTCTTTGTTTGTTATGTTCGTTGCCAGTGATCATCAAAATTTTTGGACATGGGTTGCTTACTGGATATGATATGCAAACAAAAAAAATTTGTTATAAAAAGTAAATAAAGAAATTAACAAAGTTAACAATTTTGAATACTTTTGTATGTATGCACCAATTATCAATAATGTAGGATTCGTCTTTTGTATTGTATCCAGTTTGTAATGTAACCTACCCTGATACAATCATGATGAACATTCAACAGTCTTGTATGAAACAATTTTTATTCAACTTTAATTTACATTAATTTACAGAAGTGAAATACAAATGACTGTTTGACAGTTCAAAACATTTTTAGATTTTACACATTTAAAAAATACGATTTCATTCAATTACATACATTTATCATTAGATATATACATATATGTGTGTGTATTTGTGCAGATGTATGTATATATGAATATTCATGTGTGAATTGCACGCATTTTTATGTATAATTGCTTTTTATCATTTGGCGTGAATGTGTTTACGTCTATGACTATCTTTTTGTATGATCTTCAAATGTGCGTGTACGTGCATATGACAAGTTGGTGCACGCTTAGGTTGTACGTATATTTGAGTTTGTACGTACATGTGTTGTGCATGTATTATAGGAATGCTTGTACGAACGTTTGTATAAATGTTTGTATGTACGTGCGTACGTATGTATGGATGTGTGGATGTATATGCATGCGAGTGCGTGTTAAATAGCTTATGTGTATGCTAGCTATGCGATACAGTATCTATGCGTTTGTATTTATTTAGTCAACCAACCCGTGTATGATTTTAAGTGCTATGACAAATTTAATTTATGATTTTATTACGGGATGAAATTAATTATTGTTGTTAAAAATTTAGGTAAATTTATACAAGTTTAATATGTTTAATAATAATAATTATAATAATAATAAAGAAAAAATACAAAGTATATTGTTGTGACTAGTTTCTGTTTTTTAGTTTCAACATTTCAACCTCCTACAATCGTCAGCAACACCACACCAACTTCTTCACAATTCACAACTGTCATTCACATTGTACTTATTGCACATATTTCACTTTGCACGCCCACTCACAGTTGAATCAAATTATTTTTAAACGCATCCTCATTGAATATCAACACATCAACAACACTCAAACTACCAACACAACTAAACAACAACATTTCTCAGCATTCACCAGCAAACCATCATCTTTTCCCCACCCACAACAATCCTCCATCTCTATACCACCCACAACAATCCTCCATCTTTCCACCACCCACAACAATCCTCCATCTTTCCACCACCCACAGCAATCCTTCATATCATCACTGCATGGACATGTAGGGCCAACTGAACGAACTTCCACTCAGCAGCATGTCTCTTATCAGCGTTTCGATTGGCGTCTTTCCGACGAGTCTGACGAAAAAGAGTTGCTCGATGACTTGCGCTGAGACGGTCCTGAGCGAGGGCAGCCTCAACAAAAGTTTTCCGAAGCGAGTCGGTTGATTGGGGTACTGAATCCTCACGTACTCCTCGAGGGCGCATTGAGACTTTTCTTGTAAACTTTCGATGTGTGAGGCGTCCGAGAGACCACAGGCATCTGCTGGAAAAATGAAAAAATTCATTCGTTGGTCAATCGTCATGATTTCGTTTTGCTTAGTAACGTTCAATTGTTGTGTTGGTTAAGTGCTTAAAATAGGAATTGAATATTGGACATGTCCTGCAACTCACCGTAGTAAGTGAAGTTTCTCACTGTGCGGGACTTGACCTTGTCTGAAAATAAAAACACAAAAAACTTGTTGATAAATTAAATAAACAAATTTTACGTTTATTAAACATCTAAAAGGTTTTCAACCTGAACTAAAGAGGACGATTGCTTTTAAGCAGCTATATTCGGCTGAGTCAACATGAAGAGTCTTCAACTTTTCAACCTGCTCTTGAAATATTCGAATGTGGTCCATGAAAGCGACCACTCTGTCTGCAGCCATCGGACTAGCGTGTAAACCGGCTGCAGCAAGAAGAGGAGCCACGTGGAGAGGCATGCTACACTGGGCTGCATTCAAGATGAACAGCTCACTCCAACTGAGACGCAGAAGACCAACCTGGTCGGTGACCTGCGTGTTGTTCGTGAAAGTTCATTCATGCTACAGTTCTTGTTATTTTTAAAATAAATTTGATGTTTTCAGGCTCGTAATTTAACTTGATTTTATTTAACATACTAAAGTTTCATTGTTCCATAGTATTAGTATAGTGATAATTAGTGATAATTATTCAGCAATGTGTTTAACCTTTGAAAAGAAAAATGATTTGAATTGTGTATTTAAAAAATAAAAATTAAAAAAATCAATTCAAATGAACTGACTTGAAGGTCAGGAAAGAAAGGAATGTTTCTGGCCCATTCGACAGCACTGAAGAGCAGTCGGGCCGCCAGTTCACAAATGTTTTCGATGCCCATGATGTTGTTGGGCTGCATGCACTGGCCGTACCGCGAGGTCGAGTAAGGTTCGGCTCTGAGCAGCATTGAGATGAAACTGGAGAGGTAGCTGTGCCCTCCGAAGGGGTCGCCATTGCCCAGCATCAGTTGGCCTGCGAATCCAGGATGTTGGGATGGTGGGATGCGGCCTCTCTGAACAGCTGTCGTCGAAAAAGTGTCAAATTTTTATTTATTTATAGTTTCAAATCACTTATCAATGAGATTATGGAAATATTTGATTTATATATAGCTCAGTAATGTTATTACAAACATCAGGGTGTTTGACGTTTAACATAGATCGTGTTTTGCGGTTGGTACAAAACAAAAAACTACATCGCAAATTTTACAACAATCATTTCAACGTAATCACAAACTCAAGCGTTGTATCAAATGAAATAAAGTTGCAAATGTTAGAAGTAAAAATGAACTGGTTGAATTTTGTTTTGTGCAATTCTCAAACGCTGATAGCTAATTAATCTTCTTCCCTTCTTAATTGTGGAAGCTGTTCATATTCATCATTTTTTTAATACTCATTTTGAATTTATTTTAGTTTGTAAAAATATTTTATCAAATTGGGAGTTGAATTGTTGTAGCTAGGAAGATGAACATTGACGTAGTTTAATATTTAAATACATTAAATGGCTAAAAATATTTTATTTGATATTTTAAATAAAACTGTAAAATAATTTTAATTTTTTACACGTTTGTCTTATTTTTTTTCATCTTGTTCAAATATTTTGGCTTACTGTTTGTTTGATTATTTAATTGTTTGTTTGATAGTTCGATTGTTCGTGTTAAAAACATTTGAAGACAGAAAACTTGATTTCAGGTTTGTAATCAGCTCAAAATATTCTTATGAAACTTATGAAACAAAAGTAATATTATTGAGAATAAAAGAAATATCTGAGCACGTTTTCGGATTTTGGTAGGTAGATGTGTAAGTATGCGCGTTTGTGGCTGGTTTATGAGGCACACATTTATTCATTTAAAAGGATATAAAAAATAGTCAAATGTGTGCAACAATTTATCAAAAATCGCATGAAAAATCTATAAAAACATACCATCTAAAATTAGATTTTATAAGTTTAGAATTTGAAATTAATAATGAAACCTTTATTGAAATTAATAACTGCAACAACTTTTATTAACATTAATAAAAACGGTGAGAGAGAGTGAGAGAGAGAGAAAGTGCTTAGCATTGGATTATATTGCTTATGAACAGAACGGAAATTAGGAAACCCTGTGCTGTAGGATGCGCTTCATGTCGTTGTTGTTGCTGCTTCTGCTGCTGCTGTCGTCGGCGTCGTCGTCGTCGCGTTTGTGTGTGTTTTGTTGTTACGGTCGCGCGTGTGATTGATTGTATATGTGTGTTTGCGTACAGCTCCTTGGCGAATTGTATTTTGTGTGTATGTGTGTAGGTGCGTGCGTCTGCGTATGTGGCGTCGGTGTACTGTACGAGTCATTGTGTGTGTGTGTGTGTGTGTGTGTGTGTGTGTGTGTGTGTGTGTGTGTGTGTAAGTGCAGTTATTTCTAAGCATGTGTTGCGCTTGGTTGTTTTTGTTTGGGCGTGTTTGTTGTATGTTAAGTCAAGTGGCATTGATTACACGTAAGTACGTATTGCATGTCTGAAAGTTTTTTTTAAACTAAGACGCATTAGATGCCATTAAAAGTAAAATAATTTCAGATTGCCTATAATTTTCAAATAACATGAACGCCAACTTTATACATATGAAACTGTTACAAAGTACAAATGTTATAAGGAATCAGTCAGTGTGGAATTTTCACAATATTTCACTATTGTATCTTTTCTTTGTTCTTCAAAATTGAATTAAGTGGAGATGCGTCAATGCATTGTTATTCATCCATGCACCGCGTTTGTGTATGTGTGTCTGTATGTGTGTGTGTGTCTGTGTGTGCCTGCGTGTGTGTCTGTGTGTGCGTATGTTTGTTTCTTTTTTTATGTGTGCGTGCGTGTGTCTTCTCTATTATTTTTACAATTATTTCTAAAATTTATTTTCATTTTTTATGTGATATCAGAATAAATATTTAATATGTGTGTTTCCAATTTTAAAATGTAACCACCATGTTACGATGATCAAAATTTAAGTTTTTAAAAAAATTAAACAATTTGTACAAGGTGTTGTTTATCATTTGTGTCCGTAAAATTTACAATATTAAATGATTGATACAATGTACTGTTTATTTCTATTAGAAACAAACAGTTTTAATAATTTTGATAGTTTGAAAATGGCAAACTAAATAAGTACAATGATCTACCTGAAAGGTTTTTTTGGTATAATTGTTTCCGGTTTTTTAAATGAATTTAAAATTTTATATATCGTACTTCCTTTGAATATTATTTCATGAATTTTTAAAAACGCTTTTTACATATTTTGTGTAAAGTTTATTTTCAATATAATAAAATACTATGAACTGAACTTATGAGATGTATTTGAATGTAACTGTACAATTAGTTAGTTTGGGACGCGGGAAATGCTGTCATAGAAATGAGAACAAGCAGCTTCCATCGCAATCGCAAGCCTCCAATTGAAACAAAAATCTGCGAAATCTAATAAATAATAATTGCAAACTAAAATTTATGTCATAATATTTTCATTTTTGATTTAATTCAATTCTAGATATAATTTTGTCCAAACTCAAAAAAACATTAAAAATTCAATATAAACCTCAACAACTACAACCACAACAGCTGCAACCGCAACAACTACAGCCGCAACAACTACAGCCGCAACAACTACAGCCGCAACAGCTACAACCACAACAACTACAGCAATCATAACAAACGACTAAAATATTCAAAACGACTTCAACGACGACAACCACAAAACAATAAAAACTACAACAATGTAAACTACGTTTGTAGCAACAACCAACCACAACAGCCACAACTAACAACCACCACAAACAACACCAAAATTTATTCTACAACATAGACAGCTGCAACAACCACGGCCACAACTACTTCAACAACAATGAGAATTATAATGAACAAGGCAACAAGAACCTTAGCCACAAAAACCTTCGCCACAAAAACATTAGAAAAAATAGCGACAATTAACCTTCTCTTCGCATCCCAGCCTTGAGACATTTTTTGAACCTGCAGTACTGACACTGGTTGCGGTGGTGCTGGTCGATGGGGCAGTTCCTACTACCTCTGCATGTGTACGTCAGGTTGCGTCTGACCGAACGCTTGAAAAAGCTTTTGCAGCCCTCGCACGTAAACTGGCCGTAATGTTTGCCAGAACTTTTGTCGCCACAAACGACACATTCTATGCTAGGTTGTTGTTGTTGTGTGTTGCTGCTGTTGCCGTTACTGTGTTGTTGTTGCTGCTGTTTTATGACGATGTTGATGTTATTGTTGCCGTTGTTGTTGTCTGTAGTTGTTGTAGCCGCAGCTGACGAAGACGACGACGACGACGATGATGACGTGGTAGAGCCAGTGATTGAAGCAGGCGTGGAACTGTTGTTTTCGTGATGACTGATGTTGATGTTGTTGCTGCTGTTGTTGTTGCTGCTACTGTTGTTGTTGGCTAAGTTGTTGCTGTGATGATGTGCAAGTAACAAGGGCGTAGATGTGGCGTTGTTCAGAGCTCCCAACCCGTGCAGCAGTCGATCGTCAGCGAGGCCACCACCACCGACGCTTCCTCCTCCACTACTCCCTGTGTTCCAAAGAATGGAGTTTGAAGATAGGGACATTCTCATCCAGATTGTTTAATCAAACAAGTGACGAAATTTTCAGTCAGTTTGAAATTTAAAAAAAATTATTTAGTAAGCCGTAACTCACAAAGTTTCAATTTTTTCTTTTATTATACAAAACAATTTTAAATATTCGTTTTAACAAATTAAGATTTTTGATACGTGATCAGTTTTTTTAAAAATTCAAACAAATGTCTGATTTTGGGAACTGAGTACTTTTATAAGTTTTTGAATTGTGACAAGTTCGGGCAAGTTCGGCCTGAAATATTTCATCTTTTCATTGGTTTATCGACAAAAAATTTCAATTTCAAACAAAATATCAAATATATTCAGAAAAATGAAGACCACTTTCCGAATGACTTAATTATGCTTTCTGTAAAGCACGTCAGTAAAAATAATTTAACAGTACTGATCAAAAGGAGACGACTGCAGTTGGTGTGGAAGTCTCCGGCAGCTAACAATCCATGCGAACAGGCAAACGAACAAGCAAGAAGGCAAAAAGTTCAAGATATCCACTATATATAGTTCTGCCGCGTCATCGTCATCATGACGACCACGTCGACATACATCTCTGCTCTCTCATTGGCCCACAGACCGGTGACCCTTGACCCCGACCGGTCGGTTTCTATGACAACGAGCAAAAAGAGATCACGGAGGTGATAGTCAATCGGTCATAAGTCGATCTTTCATTGGTCGAGAGGATGTCTATAAATTATGTTAAAGAGCCTAGTTGCAATGTGAGTGGTCAACAGTTTGTTTACGATTGTTATTTGACTCCACCCCCAGCGCAGAAATGCAGTCTCAGTGCAGTGCAAAGGTGTTCGTCGGGATCACGTCAATCATCCAGCGACCAACAGCCAATAGGAAGATGGAAGAGTCCATTTCAGTAGCTCGAGGTGTTGTCAAGTTGCAAATTCGATAAATTGATTTCTTTCAGTTATTTTAACGTGAAATGATTGCTAAGAGATTAATGCGAAGATTAATCTAAAAATTAAAAATATTTAAATGATGCTTGCATTGATTTGTAATGATGATACAATGATGCCGTATATTAATAGTAAAGTAGCAATTATATATATATATAAGAACAAAAAATAAAAAATAATTGGAATAAAATATTTTAAAATTTTATATCTTGTCCATATATATATATATATATATATATATATATATATATATATATATATAATAAGACGTGAGGTTTTCGGATAAACATGTTTTGTTGGGTATAACACCCCGTTCTGCGTTAATGACTTTGTGAATAAAATTTCAACAAGACTATTTAACTATTTATTAATTTATTTATTTAATATATATATATATATATATATATATATATATTTATATAATAAATTTCAATTATTGAGAATTGGTAAAATGTTATTTGAAAACAGAAATAAAGATAAAATTGCGTAAAATGTAATTGTTCAACATTGAAAAACTAAATGCATATAAAATTTCTACCCCAACACCTATTTACAAATAAATATCCGGCAAATAATATTATATATATATATATTGTTAACTATATATGTATATATTTATATATATATATACATATACATACACAAAGGTGTGTTGCACCGGAGTTCTAAAAGCAGCGAAGCGTGACGACCTTTCTGATTGGTGGAGTGGGTGGGGTCAACACTGTGTGCATATATGAATATATGTGTATATATTTGTGTATGTGTATATATTGCATTGTATACATGTATGTGTACATATAATATATATGAATCATATATATGCATATGCATATATATATATATATATATATATATATATATATAACATTAAGGTTCATCTTTGCGGATTTTGTTTGACTGCAAGACTTTGAACGTTGAAATGCCTAAACGTTTGGAGGTACGATGGAGATGTTGATGATGATAACGAAGATGATAATCATCATCATCATCATCATCATCATCATTGTGATGACAACCGAAATGACTGCCTATGTAAGATGTGATGACAGTGTAAATGTTATTGTTGTCAAATTAGAAAAATAGCGAGCGGAAGGGAGAAACAATATCATGTTGCAATTTATTATTGAAGCCTTCATGTGCTGTCCTCGGCAGGAAATCACAAGCAGGTGCGCCTTATCATCAAATCTGCCTACATTTAGCAATAAATTCAAAGACACGCATACATACATGCATCATGTATACAATATAAATACATACACACGTATATAGATATAAAAACACATACATTTGCACGCAAACACACACATACACAAGTATAGGAGCAAAGGAACATTATTATTATTATTAAGAGCAATTTATTAGCGCTAATTAAAATTCTTTCATGATCGCTCACATTAAAAAACAAAATGTACTTGACTATATATGAAAACAAAAATTGAAAAAGTTACAATTTTTGCAGTTTAACAGAAAATAAAAATGTTTTCAATTCTTTCTTAAATAATTCCAATGAAATTTCAGATCTTCAAAACGCTAGTGGAAAACCATTCCAAGCAGTGGGACCAGCAACAGCAACGTATCTTGAAGCGATTCGCAAAACTGGCACAGACTGCAAATTCAAACCATTCGACCGGAGATGAACAGTCGATGTAGCCTGTTTTTATGGCGAACTTACTTGTCATATATTCTGCTGACATACCATTCAATGATTTGAACGTAAGAACTGCAATTCTGAAGACTATTTTTTTATTTATACCAACATATACAAACAAACACAAACACACACACACGCACTGACAATTACAAATACATATGTAAACATATATATTTACATATTTGCTCATATAAGAAAAATGTTTCATACACAAACACACACACACTGAAATATATATATATATGTATATATATGTATATATATATATATATATATATATATATATGAATATATTCGCTTATATAAAATATATTTTTTTTAAATTTTAACATTGAACTAAAAAATGTTAATTAATTCAGCCACGTGACATCATCATACGCAGCAGAACCGTAGAAATTTAAAATTTAGACACAAACCTTACATAGTTTGCAGGTTTAAATAATGCACAAACAAATATACAGAAATATACACGGGCACAGAATGCAAAATCACACACATACAACACACACACACACATACAACACACACACAATGTCAACACACACACAGTAGCAGATACAACATATAGCACGTTGAAGTAAATGTATTAGGATTTCATTCGCTGTCATAATTACCCGTCACTTTTTTCCTGCAATTTCACGTTCAAATACACAGACAAACACGCACACACACACACACGCACACACATCGACAGGCGCGCACACACATACACATACATACATACTTATATACATACATGCACACTACATACATAAATACATACTACATACATACATACATACACACATGTATGTATGTATGTATGTAGTATGTTGATGTTTGACGGTTCAGTGTCACTCATCATGTTTTGGTTTTAACATACATACATACACACACACACACAAACACAAACACACACAAACACACACACACACACATACATACATACATATACAGGCACATATATGTATATAATGAAGAGCATATGCAAAAGCAGTCAATTTCACTTTTAATCTTTCAAAACATTTCCGATTGCCCCCGTTTATAAATCAATTTGTTGCTTTTAGACCTTTCTTCTGTTTATTCCCTTCTCTCAACATCATCACCATCATCCTCTCTTTCTTCATCATCGCCATTTTGAAAAATATTCATTATTTTATTCATCATTATATTATTTCATATATAGTGTGTTATTTCATTCATATTTACACACAGACACACTCACAGACACATACACGCACAGACATACACACACATACACACACACAGTACAGTACAAATGTTTGACGCCATCTAACTTCCGTTTTCATTGTTTTCTTTATTTTGTCTTGCGTCTCATTTTTGGCAAGCGCACGATCATTTAGAAGTGGAGAAAGTTTTTGGAGGAATGACGTTTAAATGGAGGGACAGTGGTGAACATTCAATGATGGCCAATTAAGGATTCTTGCATTGTTGGTTTCAGTGCTCTTGTTGTCGTCGTCGTTGTAGTTGTTGATGTTGTTGTTGGTATTTGTGTGTTTGTAGTTGTTGTGTTTGTGTTGTGTTTGTGTTGTTGTTGAGGATGTTATTGATGTTGTGTTTGTGTTGTTGTTGATGATGTTATTGTTGTTGATGATGATGTTATTGTTGTTG